AAATGAAGGCTACACTAAGTGAAATGAAGCAAAATGCACAAGAAACCAATAGTGACGGGAAGGAAACTGGGACTAAAAATCAATCAAGTGGACCAGAAGAAAGAAAAAAATGACCAAACAGGAAAATATGAAGAAACAAGAATTCAAAAAAATGAGAAGAGGCTTAGGAACCTCCAGAACATCTTTAAACACTCCAACATCTGAATTATAGGGGTACCAGAAGGGGAAGAGGAACAGCCACAAGTGGAAAACTTATTTGAACAAATAATAAAGGGGAACTTCACCAATCTGGCAAAGGAAATAGACTTCCAGGGAGTCCAGGAAGCTCAGAGAGACCCAAAGATGGTGGACCCAAGGAGGAACACACCAAGGCACATCATAATTACATTAGCCAAGATTAAAATGAAGGAGAGAATTCTAGAAGCAGCAAGAGATAAGGGGACAGTCACCTACAAAGGAGTTCCCATCAGACTGTCAGAAGATTTCTCAAAAGAGACCTTACAGGCAAGAAGGGGCTGGAAAGAAGTATTCCAAGTCATGAAAGCCAAAGACCTACACCCAAGATTGCTCTATCCAGCAAAGCTTTCATCTAGAATGGAAGGGCAGATAAAGCGCTTCTCAGATAAGGTCAAGTTCAAGGAGTTCATCACCACCAAGCCCTTATTATATGAAATGTTACAGGCACTTATCCAAGAAAAAGAAGATAAAAAAATGAACAGTGAAAGGATAGCAAACTCACAGTTATTAACAACCACACCTAAACCAAAAGCAAACTAAGCAGACAGCTAAATCAGGAACAGAGCCACAGAAATGAGATCACATAGAGGATGGGAGATCACAGCAGAAGAGTGGGAGAGGGAGAAGGGGGGAGAAGGTACAGAGAATAAGTAGCATAGAGGGTAGGTAGAAGATAGACGGGGAGGGCAAGAATAGTTTGGGAAATGTAGAATCTAAAAGACTTGTGACACATGGACATGAACTAAAGGGGGGACTGTGGGGGGAGGGGTGTGCAGGGGGGAGGGGAATAAAGGGGGGAATAGGACAACTGTAATGGCATAATCAATAAAATATATAAAAAAAGAATTATTGCCAAACTGAAGAACTGACTTTCACTTAAAAGACAAGTTGAAACCCCAAAGGCTATGGCCGTAAGATAGAAAAAGGATTCTTGTTCTATATCTCTCAAAAACGTTTGAATGGTGAATATGGAGCCACAGTTCTGGCAGCAGCAGGATTAGACTGAACAGAGAACCTTTTCCAACCCCTGTGACTCTGCAAGATCAGAGTGTCAGGGTACTTGGGCTGGTGAAACCATGGTAAAAAGTAACATAAATACACACAGTGGCAAGAGCACCCACACTTCCCACACAGGCTGGGTGTCTGTAGCTTTTATGGCAGCTGCTTCCAGGCCACAACAGGCTCATAATCATGGGCAATGAGGCAGCAGGTGAGATTAATGATAAGGGAATCTGGGCCATGATGGAGACCATGTAAGAGACAACAGTCCCCATTTTTGTCCTAGTTTTGTTCTTCTCACACAGCTACAACTCAAGCAGAGGGGAAGGAGCCTCAAATTGGACTTCGGGTACTCTCCTTGACGTGTACCACGTGCCATATGAGTGTTCTCTTCTGCATGTTCTAACAGGAAAGGACATGAGAGAACATGGTAGCTCCGGAGTGACCTACCAGGGCTGACTCTCAGAGACCAGTATCGCATCATCTAATCTACATAATGGGCTCAAAGGAAAGCAGACCCAGGGAATATTTGCTGTTACCAAATGAGCAGAAGAAAATATATTCTCCAGGCTTTATTTTTGCTTCCTCTCCTTTTTGTTTACAGTTTAAGATGCTCTTGGGGAAATGATATAATTAGCCATGATTTATAGTTATGCAAATTCTTTGTCCTTATTAAAATAAATGAAAATATACTTTGCTGGTTTCTAATGTCATAGCATTGGCCATACACAATTACTATACAAGATGCTAAGTTTCTAATATTTCCTAAAACAGATCAAAATTTCAGCTCTCTCTCTCTCTCCATTCAAGGAAAGCTGATGGCTAAAGGATATACTGTCTTCTAAACTGTTGAATACTACAAGTCTTCAAGTGCTGCCTCTAAGAGCCAGCAATCTCTCACACTGCAGGGGCCCAAGAAGGCAACATGTGAGAGAAGCTGTGCAGAAGACAGAGCCAGAAGACCAGTGCTTACCTTCTATCTCTGTCCATGTAACCTTGGGGCATCTCGTTGAAACTCAGTTTCTTTCTCTAGAAAACAGGGATAACATTAGCTTCCTACCTTATAGGATAGTTGTGAAGAATAAAAAAGATAGAGTCCATGAAAATAGTTTATAGAGTTCTATACAACTAGGAAATATTTATCTTTGGATTCAGAATACCTTTGTATCCATTCACCCATGAGTTGCAAGAAATTTTTGCATGTGTTTACATGTACACATACATATGTACTTACATGTAAACATTCACAAATATGAGTGGGGACCCAGAAAATCCCCGGAATTATCTTCTGGAGGGTGGGCCCCTTGTAGTACAGGCTTCCCCTTGTACTAGGTGAGTGTTCTAGAAACCTACCTATATCAGTGTACCAGCTAGTGTTGTTGTGAGAGGTTGCATTTGGTTTCAGTAAATTTTTTTTGAAACTCTTTTAACACACTCCCCATTTCATGGTGAGTAATTTATGAGCACACCTGCCCACACTGAACAGGGTGTTCAACAGTTTCTGACCAAAAACGGCATGACTCCCATCACTCGACCTTTCTATTCACCCAATCTTGCCATGAGAGACTTTTTTTTTGTTTCCCTGGAAGAAAAAAGTCCTCAAAGGAAAATGTTTTGCAGATATGGAAGAGGTGAAACAAAAAAAGGCAGAAGCATGTAAAGGCATTAAAATTGACGAGTTCAAAACTGTTTTGAGCAGTGGAAAAAAATCTCTATAGGTGTATTGCATCAAATGGAGAGTACTTTGAAGGTGACTGAAGATTAAATATGTAAGAATATACAATTTTTATAAATAAATTCTGGTGTTTTGAGGGTCCACCCCTTGTATACATGTAAATGCACATGTACTCATTTACTCATTGGGAGGGGTCCATAGTTTTCATCAGCATCACAAAGGAAGTTATTTTCTAAAATTAGTTAAGAACCTCTGTGCTAAATAAGGTTCCACATCATCAGTCATTAGAAATGTGCAAATTAAGACCCCCCAGAAGATACCACTGCATGCCCAGTAGGACGACTCTATTGGAAGGACGAGCAATGCTGAGTATTGGTGAGGGTGTAGAGCATTTAAACACTCACACACTGCTGAGGGGAATGTAAAATGATACAGTTGCTGTGGAAAGCAGTTTGGCAGTCTTATAAAGTTAAAGATAAACCTACCATATGGCCCAGCAATTACATTCCTAGTAATCTACCGAAGAGAACGAAAGCATATGTCTACACTAAGACCTGTACACAAATGTTCATAGCAGCATTGTTCAAAATAGGCCAGAACTGGAAAGAAAAGTCTCCATCAGCTTGAGAAGGGATATACTAAATGAGACACATTCATATAATAGAATACAGGGTAGGGTAGGGGTAAGTTTATAGTTGTGAGTACAAGAAACACAGTTTATTCTTGTATTATTATTTGTTAATTATTGTACTATTTTCCATATGAACCTACTTTTACCCCATCCTGTATAGCTCAGCAATGAAAAGCAATGAAGTATGAAGAGGTGCTACAACATGAACAAGACTCAAAAATATCCCACTAAGCCCTGGCTTATATGGCTCAGTGGATTGAGTGCCAGCCTACAAACCAAAGGGTCGCCAGTTCAATTCCCAGTCTAAGGGCACATGCCCAGGTTGCAGGCCAGGTCCCCAGTAGGGGACACGTGAAAGGCAACCACACATTGATGTTTGTCTCCCTCTCTTTCTCCCTCCCTTCCCCTCTCTCTGAAATCAAATAAATAAATAATCCTTTTTTTTTTAAGTAAAATAAAAGAAACTTAACTTTGGAGCAGACCCCCTGGGTTCTGATTTTAAATTAAAAAATAAAACAAACAAACAAATAAAAACACTACACTAAGTGGAAAGATCATATAGTGCATGGTTCTCCTTACATAAAATGCCCAGAAGGGGCAGGCCTGGGATTGCCTGTGATTGGAGGGGCAAGTGTAGCCATGGATGCTCATTGGCTCAAGGAAAATTTAGACATTGATGCGAAAGCTCTAAAACTACACTGTGGCAATGGTTTCATGACTCTATAAATCTATATAAATCACTGAACTGTACATGTATGCAAGTGACTTTTGTATGTAAATTATACCTCAATATAGCTGTTTTCACAAAAGACATGAATAACAGATGGTGTGTTTCGAGATATAACTGTAAAGTGAATACAAATAACAAAATGTAAAATGATTGAGTCTTGTATACATATTATGGTATTTTAAACTATTGTCATTTAAAAAATGTTCTTTACTCTCTATATGCTGCAGTTTCCTCATCTGTAAAACAGAGATGATAAAAATAACTACTTCCTGAGCATCTGTGAAGATGAACCAGTTAGGTGTGTAAAGTATTTAGGATCAGTCCTGACACACAGTGAGCAGGAAAGACCTGTTAATTCGACACTAACTGGAGATCTTGTGTTGCTATCGACCACACGAGATATTGTAATATCTATTCTTTCAATGTTCTTTTTCCCAAGAGGAAAAATAGGCATTAAAAATTAATGGTACTTCCCTAAATTGGCATAAATACAATGCATAATAATAGAGGCTATGCGAAAGGAATGTGGGAAAATATCATAGCTGGAAATTGGGAGCTATGTGGATTATATCATGGAAAACATAATCTGCAAAAATTCATTGTGGTTTTATTGTTATTTCAGATCAGGCAACCAATTCAGAAATAACTTTAGCCTGCTCCTTTCTCATTTTCTCCCTTATCTGCTCAGCTGCAGTGCCCACGCTGACCCTCTTCCTTATCACTCACAGGACGAAGGCAAAGACCCGCCTCTGGGGGCGATAACATTAGCAGGCGCAGAGGTGGGCACAGATAGCAGCTTAGGCAAACCCTTTGTGTTCAGCTGTGTGCCTCAGTCTGGAAATAGAACGTTTTGCCTCTGTGCAACCTCAAACCAAGAAATGAAAAGGTAATCCATTAATCTTTTATCTTACCATTTTCACTTGGGTGGGGGTGGGGGAAGGAGGCTTCCTTAACAGAAGTCTTATAGATCATTGGGATTGGAACAGCACATTCAGAGCAGGAGTCAAGGAATTGTCTGTTTCTCAAGTACAAGACCAGTTCTTTGTTATTCCTCCAAGTTTTTCTAACAGAATCTCTCAAAACAGAGGCAACTTCTCTTAACTCATTTACTTTGAATCTCTACATTTTCTTCAAAACACTCAATAATGCCACAGTTCATATCTAGCTTCCCCCCAAATTACTGAATTTATATATTTAAGCTAATTGAATGGACAGTCCAAGGCATAAAAGTAACATGGTAAGGTTATAGTTTAACACACTACAATGCATTGAGCAAAATAAATAATAATAATGCTGCTTTGCGGGGGTGACCCAGCTGGCATCTTGGGAGCATGCATTCCGATGGCAGGTGCGCATAGGCGCACTCAGGGGGCAGCTGACAAACTGGAAGCATTCAGTGACTGTGATCATTATTTCGTGCAGCACCCTGAGGGAAGCGAGATCATTGGTCAATGCAGTGAGTTGACTGACCACTTTCATGTAAATACTGCAAATTTAGGGTGAGAGTTGGGGTGAGGAAGACAATGACAACAGGTAATGGGTCAAAAGTGTTAGTTAGTGTCAGTGGCATATCTCTTTAAGAGAATTTGGACTCAGCTCCAATTTTAAAGAATGCCCTAGGTCTGTTACATCTCAGGCAAACAATGTACTGCCCTTATATGTAGAACATAATGTATCAAATACATGTTGCTTTAAAGGACAAATAGGGAAATATGATGATGGTGACTTGACTGTATTTCAAGTCATGGACAAAATATGGGGTGGGGCAAAAGTAAGTTCACAGTTCATAAGAAAAATAATACAACTAATAAATAATAATACAAGAATAAACTGTGTCATGTACAACTGGAAATCTATTTTTGCCCCACCCTGTATTTATTGGATAGAAGTTAATACATTTAAGAGTATTGCTTTAAGGTCCCTAGGACTATGAGTATGATTAAGCCTTCAGAACAGGGCACTTATTCCAACATTTTTAATTTAAAACAGAAATTGAGATGAGTTATAGGAGCAGGCAAGGTTGGCCTGGAGGTGAGGGGGAGGGAGAGAAGATCTCTGGTTGTGGGGATGAGTGAGGAGTTCCTGAAGGAGGCGTGTGGCATAGGGTCAGACAGCACACAACCGAAGACATGGAACAGAGAAGGGCAGAGTGAACAGACCAAACTTTGGGAAGAAGACTAAGCAGTATGGTTTGATGGGGAGTTACAGGGTTTAAAAGAATTTTTTTAATTGGCAAGTTGGGGTGGGGTGAACAGGCTGCTGCATGGCTAAGGAAAAAGGACCAAGGAAGTTCAGTTCTCGAGTAGAGGCAGTAATGGTGCCCTAAAGTGACCATTATGTCCGAGGAACTCTTGGTGATGACTATTTACCAGTGTTTCCATATTTTAATAGTGAGTGCCTTATAGTTCATACACTAGTTGTTATGAGCCCTGCTGGTGTTAATGAATTCACATACTTTGGTAAATTTTTTTAAAAAAATAAATGAGTTTTCTCTTAGGCACTAATTAAACCATAGTAAAGAATAAGGATAATTTATTTCAAATATGCTTGATGGGAGTAGGATTTTGCCACCTAGTAACAGCAATTGTGTAAGAATGTGTTGCCCCTCCATGATGAACTGTGAAATATATCTGAGCCTCAGGATCATGCCATGTGAATGATGGGTTTCAGGGAGAACAGCCAGCCCCTCCAAATGGCGCTTACTGGGCCCCCCACGGGGACTGCCTCTCATTTTGCTGTCTTTCAGGTGGCTTGAGGCAATGAACAAAGCATCCCATCCTGTCCGCCAGGTAAGTGTTCTTGATATTTATCTCGGTCTTCATTCAGGTTTTCTCCTCAGAGGGGCAAAGCATAGAGTTAGATGCCTTGCAGGCCACCTAGGGATATCTTCGATCTGCTCTGACAACTGGAAAAGAGGATTTTAAGTCAACAGGGTTTCCTACTCAGATACTAAGACGGAACTTGCATTCCTGCTGTTCTTCTTCTTTCCAGGGGTTTGTCTGACATTTCTCTCAGTGAGCTCGGTGGGGAGTCACATGCTGGCGTGGAAGATCTGTTTCCCACAGAGCAGCCCAGTGGCTCCCCAGGGAGGTCGGGACACTGCTGCGGTTTTCTCTCCGATCCCAGAGTACAAGATGTCAGGGATGGCTTGGGATAGTGCTGTGGGCCATGCAGCTTATTAGAAAATGAGTGTCTTCTGTTCAGAATTGAAGGGCTTTGTGTTCATAGCTTTGTTCTGGAGACACACTAGGCCACTTTCCTTTCACTGTTCTTGCCAGTTCCTAGCCTTGGAGTAATATAATTTTTAACTTAGATTTGACCTATAAACTGATGGGTAACTTCATAACATTAACAGGTGAGTCATCACTTTAGTCCCTACGGCCTTTGATATCTCTTTCTGAGCTAATGCTATGACCTGTGGATGGGGGGGTGCTTTCATACCCAACTCTGTATACTTCATATATGATTTCTAATGAGGTGATAGATTTCCCTTAAATATGTACATTTCCTTACCAAAATGGCACACAAGCAAAAAGCACTTACTATCAATTATCTTCTGTACATATTTTGGCTCTTGTCTATTTCAGAAAATTTGTATCATTTGAGCTTGAATGTACTGCCCCATGCCCCGTGGCTGTCCTTTCAGAACAATCACTGGCATTATCACATGAAAAACAGCAGGACTTGTGTTTCATTTTACCTGGAACACAACACTCATTACACTCATCCATCTCTTCAGTGAGTCATCCTAATGAGCCTCGAGATTTTTAAGAGGGATCTATCTATTCTGCTAATGCGCTCTGTCTGTAGCAGAGTGCAAAAGGAACAACCAGGCTCCCAGCAGGCTCCCACTTCACAGCAACGAATAAAGCCAGCTCTACAGTCTGAAATCTTTTGCACTGCCTTGTTAGAACTGAAGAGCAAAAATGAAACCAAATAAAGAAGAGAAACTGGCCGGATGCCCAGCAGGGCATTATGATAAAGAGATGAAGCACTGTGTCCTTATGCCTCAGGTCAAATTCCCAGGAAGAACCTGCCTCTCAGGTCTGTGGACCCAGGGCTACCTACCCTCCAGGGTAGAAGATCCTGATTTGTCATGGGCCTTCCACATCCTTGACCATGAGTGCCTAAGGCTGATATGGGGCATTTAACTTGTTCAATTGCACAAATGGGAGTTCTAAATAAAATAAAGCATGAATCCAAAGTCACAGCGGAACCACCAGGAACAGGGCCAGGAGGACAATCTCAAATACTGAGTGAAAAAGCAAATTGGGACCAACCCATTCAGACAGTGCTATTCAACATAGTCTTCACTGAGGTGCCATCTCCATTTCCTATTTTTTTTCTTTTTTTTAATTTAATTTAATTTTATTGATTATGCCATTACAGTTGTTCTATTTCCCCCCTTCATTCCCCTCCACCCTGCATCCCCCCACCCCTACCATTCCCCCCTTTAGTTTATGACCACATATCTCATGTTCTTTAGAATCTATATTTCCCACACTATTCTTGCCCTCCCCCCTGTCTATTTTCTACCTACCACCTATGCTACTTATTCTCTGTACCTTCTCCCCCCTCTCCTTCTCCCACTCCCCTGTTGCTAACCCTCAATGTGATCTTCATTTCTATGGTTCTGCTTCTGATCTAGCTATCCTCTTAGTTTGCTTTTGTTTTAGGTATGGTTCTGAATAACTGTGAGTTTGCTGTCCTTTCACTGTTCATATTTTGTATCTTCTTTTTCTTAGGTAAGTCCCTTTAACATTTCATATAATAAGGGCTTGGTGATGATGAACTCCTTGAATTTGATCTTATCTGAGAAGCACTTTATCGGCCCTTCCATTCTAAATGAAAGTTTTGCTGGATAGAGTAATCTTGGTTGTAGGTCTTTGGATTTCATGACTTGGAATACTTCTTTCCAGCCCCTTCTTGCCTGTAAGGTCTCTTTTGAGAAATCCACTGACAGTCTGATGGGAATTCCTTTGTAGGTAACTGTCCCCTTGTCTCTTGCTGCTTCTAGGATTCTCTCCTTCATTTTAATCTTGGCTAATGTAATTATGATGTGCCTTGGTTTGTTCCTTCTTGGGTCCAACTTCTTTGGGACTCTCTGAGCTTCCTGGATTTCCTGGAAGTCTATTTCCTTTGCCAGATTGGGGAAATTCTCCTTTATTATTTGTTCAAATAAGTTTTTCACTGGTGGCTTTTCCTTTCCCTCTTCTGGTACCCCTATAATTCAGATGTTGGAGTGTTTAAAGATGTCCTGGAGGTTCCTAAGCCTCTCCTCATTTTTTTGTATTCTTGTTTCTTCATCCTTTTCTGTTTGGTCGTTTTTTTCCTCTTTCTGGTCCACTCCTTTGATTTGAGTCCCAGTTTCCTTTCCATTACTATTGGTTTCCTGTGCATTTCCATTCATTTCAATTAGTTTAGCTTTCATATGTTCCTCTAATTTGTTCCTCTAATTCATTTCAATTAGTTTAGCCTTCATTTGTTCCTCTAATTTGTTCCTCTATAATCCACCAGTTCTGTGAGCATCCTGATCACCAGTGTTTTGAACTGTGCATATGAAAGTTTTGCTATTTATTTGTTGCTTAGAGTTATGGGCTCTGGGGCTTTGAGATCTTCTTGAGCCATTTTTGGTCTGTTCTCACCCGTTAAGTGTGAGGAGCGGAACCTTAGGTATTCACCAGGGCGGGGCCTCTCAGGTCTCTGGGTTGTGATGCTGTATGTGGGGGTAGGGTCAGAGTGGGGAAGTGGTGGCCCCTTGTACTGCTTCCTGCCACTGAGGCCTGCTCAGTCCCGTTTCACTGCTCACTCCTTCACCAGTCTATCTGCACACAAATGTGTGACCACAGTCAACCTGCCGCCCTGCGCCCTCACTGGGTCTGCCCTTTGCAACCCCACACCTGGGACCCACACACCTGAGTCCGTCTGACCGAGTTTTCCTGTGCAACCCTGCTCCACCAGCTGCTGGCTTCGCCCCTCTTACCGGTTAGGCTGAAGAATTTGTTGTTATCAGACTTCCGAAAAGTTCAATTTTCTGTGTTTTTGCTGTGTTTTCTGTTGCTAATATTTTGTTGTCTCTAAAGCTGGCTGTGTGAGAAAGCACGGCGTCTCCACCTATGCCTCCATCTTGGTGAAAGTCCCCTCCATTTCCTTTCTATATGCCACTGATGTTCTTTGGATTTCCTCACAATAGAACAGAAGCCAAAGAGAAGGGATATCTATGGACATGATAAAGGAGAAATTTCCTATGGCTAATGGATAACTTCAGGTTTTCTGGATAGTTGATCAAGTATTCAGATTGTCTTAGCAATAGTATCAAACAGCCCAGGTGCTGATGTCTCGGGCTTGGGGAGTCTATGACCATAGATTGGTGCAGGATGATCACTGAGATGATCCCTTTGTGCTACACCTGCAGATCCATGTCTGGGAAGATGTTACTCTGCACAACAGTAACCTCCCACCCCTGGCTATCAAGAACCCAGAGTGCCTGGGCCTTCTGCACCAACTGGACAGAAGCACAGACACGTGGGTCCAGCACTACTGCATTCTGAAGGACGGCTGCTTATACTTCTACACTAGCATTCGCTCCACACAGGCCTCAGGTACGCACTCAACTCTCACAGGAAACAAGAGTAATTACAATAATAATAGTGATGACCTCTTAGCTTTGTGGAGATGTTACCGAATCTTGTGCTATGTAATTTACCTGAATTTGCTCATTTACCCTTTAAAAAAGAGGTACTAGTAGAGTTTCCATTTTACAGATAAGAAAACTGTCTGGAAAGTCTACATAGCTTGACAAGATTACATGCAGTAAACAATGAAACTGAGCTCTGACCACAGCCCCAAAACCTGCAGAGCTGGTGCCCTTAACTCCATGCTGCTACTTCCTGGAAAGGAGAAAAATAAACGCCTTCATTCTTTTGGTCACAATGACATGCAGAATCAATGCAAAGGTCTTCTTGTGCAGTGACTTCACCCTTTTCTCATAGCATCCCCCAATCTTACATAAGTGAGTAACGAACGAAAGGAGCATTAACTGTCGATTTTCCCCTAGGCAAATCCCTTAACTTCTTAAAACCTGCTTTCCTCATTTATAAAATGAAAACAGCTATATTTCACAGGACTGCGGTGAAGATGAAATGAGATAATTGCCAATACAGTGACAAGTTCTACATATAAAGTGCTCTACATAATAAGTTCTCTCTATATTGTATATATAATATATACATTTGTTTATGAAGTTATATATGTTAAAACTATATATACAAAATAAGAATATAAACCACATAATTTAATAATGAAATAATTTTGCCTAACTTCTACAAGAAAGATTATTTAGTCTTCTTATAGTTTTTGACAAAAGAGACTATTGGTGTTTTATTTGCAGCTGGACATTTTCCCAAATGAATAATTCTTAAATAATTAGCAGTAGTCAACATTCTGTAATCTCAGTCATTTAATTTTTCTTTTAGCATTAATGCTTAGGTTTAATTAAGCTAGACAGACATGCCAAATGGGAAATGGGTATCTTGTGACAATTTTTGACCTTCCGGAAGGGTACAAAAGAGGTAGAAAACAAGCATGGTCCATTTCTCACCACTCAGGAGGAACAATACAATGATTCTCTTCTACTTAATCACCCTTCCATTGTGAGAGTGTTAAAACATGACCCAGAATACTATTCAACTATTATGAGATAGATGGCATTTCTAACCACTTGCAGGACAGGCTGTTCCCATTGAATAGAACTCTAAATCCACAGCTTTATGCACCTGATACCAGGATGGGAATGAAGTAAACAAAACAACCCTCCAAAGTGGCCATTATCCAGGACTTCTCTTATAAAGTATCATTACAGAACTTGGAACCATTTTAATCACCAAATCAATGAAGCTCACTTTTGAGAGACTGTTTCCATAGCTAGAGAAGGAATGTTTAGAGTTGAATGCTCAGGTTACTCCAAAATGAAATATTAACAAAGTGCTGCCAAAGCCCTGAGGTCAGAGACAGCCACTGATTCCAAAGGTTTAATATAGTAATGGGAGCCACTAGATGGCTGCCCTTAACCTGAAGGTTGCAGGAGGCCCTACTTAGAAAGCCCTAGTTGGAGAGCTGGGAAACAGCTACTAATAAATAGCCTAAAAATAGTATCAGCAAAAGCAGTATTATCATTCAGTGAAATCAGCTTTTTGTACTCGTCATTCTGTTGTGTTTTTACTTATCATTTCATTTAATTACCACAACAATTCTATTAAATGCATTATTATGCCAATTACACATTTGGAAACTGATGCTTAGCAAGGTTAAATCATTTGCCCATGTTTCTCTGACTAGTAAACAGTGAAAGAATGTAAACCCAAGTAGCTTAAATTATACCAACATAAAAAAAAAATAGACAAGTAGGAAAAATTGGAAGGTTTGTTTATATTCAGATCTTATTTCACACATCTTTCCTGGAACTTTGATGGTCTTTCTGTTGCCTCTAGAGCACTCTAGGGCCTTATACTTTGTTCTGAAACCCTTGTTTCTGGTTTTCTCTTCCTCTCCTCATGTTACAGCACCCTGTATTCTACCCAAACATGGTCACATTCTATTTCTGTAGCACGCCCCCTTTAACATGCTTCAGACTCATCTCTTTGCTTGTGCTAGTTCCTTCCCCTGAAACATTCTCTATCTACTGATTCCCCCACAGAGTTGGTCTAGATTCTACCTGTCCTTCAAGTGCTTGTTCAAATGCCTGCCATTTCTGCTCTAAAGCAATCCCAGACAGTCCTACATAAATAACCTTCTCTGAATTTGCATACTTACCTATCTTATGGCACTTACCACACTCTACTTTGTATTTTTATCTCTGTTTAGCAAACTTATCTCTTCTAAGGGATTATACACTCAGAGATATAATGTATGTTGAATGAATGAATGAATGAATGAAATGAAGAAACAGCATATTACTGCCATTGGCCATTATTTCTATGAAGTGTGAGTGGTTTGCCATTCCCACATTAATAGTGAAGAAAGATTAGAAAACAGAACAGCCAATTCAGAGGTAAAAAACAAAACACAGGCCACCAGGTGGATGCCTGGCCTTTCTGCCATATCACACCCTTTCCAGCAATCATGAGTTATCCATTTTTAAATCCTTTCTTGAAAATTTATTATTTTATGGTTAAAAAATATTTAATCCAAAGCCACTCATTCTTTCCCAGCCTTCAGTCTCAACTATTTCTATATCCACAGGCTCTCAATTTCTAGCCCATATTTTCTCAAATATGGATTAAAAGAACATTTCCCTTACTGAAATTCCAACAGAAATTGTATATCTAGGCCATGTTCTAAAATAGAGGCCCGCGAGTTTTAGTTTTACGTGACTGTACTCTTCCTTGAATAAAGCCCACCATTCGCCGGAGCGTGCACCTTGTTTCAGAAGGTGCACTTCACTGCTATGTCCTCCCTACTCCCACCGGTAGCCGCCACTGGGCCCTCACAGGAGCTCTCCCAGGGCTAATCAGTGACGGACCCTTCTTCAGCATTAAAGTGGCTGTGCAGAGACTCTCCTAAAGTCTTTTTACCTTCCCTAGATTTTAATTTAAAATTGAGGTTTACATCCTTTTTCTAAGAATCCTACATTTTCACTTCAGTCATGACCTGACGCTCACAGCCAGTGATCTGGCACAATGAAACCCAAGATAGAATCAATGCATGTCCATCCACTTCTCCTGTGATGAATTCCCAAAATGAATATGGTCCCACCACCATTGTCCACCAAGAATCACTGGTTAGCCACATTTTTTTCAGAGGACTGATCACACTGCTCAGGGATACTAGAGTGGGAAAGTTAGCATGCATTATTGAAGACTTCCTATGTGTCTGGGACTTTGACAAGCACTTACATTCATTATCTAAAACTAATATTTGCAAAATATCCACTGTTATTGCACCACGATAAGTGAGAAACTAGAGCTTAAAGAAGTTAACTAAAGCCAGTGGTCACCCAGCTAGTAAATGACAGCAACAAAATGTGAACAAACGCTATGTGAATCCTGTGCCTAAATTCTCGATTTCATGCCACGGTGCTATGTCTGGAGCTCCCTGATAGAAATCAGTTTTCTTAAAGGAGCACTCAGTCAAAAATGCTGCATGTCTAGTCTCTGCGCTCTGGACATCAGCACACTGATGGCAATAACCGGCATCCACCCCATCCAATTACTTATCATGAGAACCATAGGAGTTGGGAGGACAACAGAGAAATTTTTTGAGAATGGCTAAACCCATGATGCGCCACAAACACTACAAGCAATAAAATATTCAATTTAACTTCATCATATTATATGCATGGAATATGAATCATTATCAATTTTATAAAGATTACACCAAGTCTTAATACTCACTTTCAGTTCCTCTAGGTGATGCCATGTGAGTGATCTTCGTGCTGGTGTGATCTGAATTTCCTCCTTGCTTGTACTGTCTGAGTCCCGCTTGGCTCTCGCACATCCCACTCTTGTCTGGTTCCTTGTTCTCCAGCCCTGTAAAGGTCATAATCTTGAAATACGCCTTGGTTACCATTTGTACCAAATTGCAGGTTTTGACCCTACTACTTAGTCATGCAATCAATGTAGTAGGTTGTGACCAGTATTTAAAAATAAGATAGAATAGAATTTAATTGAATAGAAAATATTACAATACCTCACAATGTTTCACAAAACTTTGGTATAAATGTACAAAAACATGTAGAGGTCTATATTTCTCGCAGGCAAAACAGTTGGAAAAATACTAATATACAAAAACACTGGCAGTGAATATCCATTTGTTCAAATAGTCAGTTTTCTGTTCAGAATCTTAAAGTACTTAACAAAGGCTCTTTCCTCTCAGTTATCTTTATGATATACCTGCCATATTAGTTGCTTTCTTATTAAGATCCAGCCTTCTGTGGCACCACTTCATAGAGACATGGCCCACTGGCTCATAGCATCTCTGCTGCTTTACTATTTAAATTTTACTTTATTTTCTTATTTATTTTATTCAATTGATGCATGTTCTTTATGAGAAATCTGGGGGACCTCATTTGATATTTTTAATTTCTGGAGGTACCTACAGTATTTGGGATGTGACATTTCTTGCAATTGTCCTCTGAGATTCTGAGACAATAGTGAGAATGATAAAGAAAAGATAAGAAAAAATAACCATGAAATGAGGGGAAAGAGCAAGATATGAGAAGGAACACAGCACTGATTTCCTGTAAAAACCACATTAGATGCCAATCCCACATTTTACTTTCAGCCAGATAAATATGCCTCTAATGTGCATCGTGGGAGTTAGGGAAAGAGCCCCAGACAGTTCCCTGAAGCCTCTCCTTATGATCCAGGAAAGTGCCGGTGCTTTAACAATATGGATTACTGGCCTGGCTGTGCCTGCTCATACTAAAGAGGTACTGTGTGAGTATTCCAGAAGCCCTTTAGTCAAGTGCCTCTTCACTAGCCTGAAGCCCCTTGTCATTCACCATACACTGGATTTTTCCCCTTTTATTTCTCCAACAAAAGCTGGAGGTAACTGTTAACTATGGTTCTTGAATAAATTGCATCAAGGTCTGTGAGCATGTCTCAAAGAGAAATATTTTACATTATTGCAACAAACAGAACACACAATGCTTGTACAGTTCTTGTGAGAAATCTCTGTCCAAAACTGTGCCAGCTTGTTATTTACTGCTACTACCTAGTAACAGATAGAGAACTGCCCAATGAGGTCACCTTCAATGAGGTAATTGCATTATAATTGGATGTCTTTAATGCCAGTCATTTCTACACTATTGCTGGTTAGAAAAGGGGTCAGATAACCTTGTTTGTAGCATACACATTTTGTACAATACCTTTTATCCTTTCTCAGGAAGGGTAGGGATAGGGGAGAGTATTCATACATGCTCAGAAAAATGAGAAAAGGAATCTCACAAGCAGGAAGATGTTGGAAACCAGTGCAGAAACATATAAATGCTGTGCACTATAGTTTGGAGCAGAAAATTAAGACAGCAAAATAACCTCTGACATGTCTTTAGGTGCCATACAGTCCTGAAACATCTAGCACATTGTATATTCCACTACTAGTATATACTCCCAAAACATATACCTATGCAAAAAGTTGTACATGAATATTCATAACATTGTTCATAACAGAAAAATTAAAGAAACTAACTAACTAATGGATAAATAAAACATGGTATGTGGAATCTAATGAGCAAACTGAACTGACAAGCAACACAGAGACAGATTTACAGATGGAGAACAGATGATAGCTAGTGGGGGTGGTTAGGGGGTGGAGGGATTGAGCAAAAAGGAAAAAAGACTCATGGATATAGACTACAGCATAGTGACTGCCAGTGGCAGGGGGTATAAGGGGGGCTGACTAAATGGTAATAGAAAAATAAAGATGATATATTTTAAAAATAAAAAACTATAAATAAATAAATAGAACATGGCATAGTATATCCATACAACGGAATATCATTCAACGTTAAAGTATTGACACATGATACAACATGGATAAACCTCGAAAACAACATGCTAAATGAAAGGAGCCAGTCACAAAAGACCACATGTTGTAAAATTCCATTCATATGAAATGTTCCAGGAAAAGCAAATCTGTAAAGACAGAGAGTAGGTTTGGGTTGCGTAGCATTAGGGTAAGGCAGCAGACAGGGCACGATTACTAATGGGTATGGAGTTTCTCTTTGAGGGCATGAAAATGTCATAAAATTAGGTCATTATGATGGTTACACAGGTCCATAAATACATTAAAAATAATTGATTATGCACTTTGAATGGGTGGATTTTATGATGTGCAAATTATATCTCACTAAAGTCAATACATATAGCACAAAGAAAAAGGTCACTCAGATTTTAGTAAAAACCATTTTACTGGAGCCTACTTAAGGAAAAAAATTCAGCCCATTTCTAAAATGAACATTTTCCTAGTCATTCTAAAATTGACTTATTTTTAATAAAAATTCATTTTAAAATTAATATTACATCCAAATACCCTTATAAAATAAACAACTTTCCCCCAATTTTTAAAATCTAAAAGCCACTCATTCAGCTTAAAAAGAAAAATATCTGACTTCCTGACAGTGTACATTGGCACCGGTTAACCAAAGTCAGCCATATTCAAAGGGACCACATACTCTGTTGAGAGTTCCTTACTAACACATGGGCGTGAAATTGTTATTATGTAGAGGAGCAAAAACGCAAGTCATATTTTTGTTAGAGCATTGCCTTAAAGTGGCTCCTACAGGAAGGTGGGGCATGAGAACAAGAATTAGCAAGAACAAAAGAGGTTCAAACATCTCAGCATTGCTGCCAATGATGTTTCCTGAAGCCACTGCGTGGAATTCAGGTCACCTCAGAGTTTCAAAATCCCATTAAAACACACACACACACCTTCTCCTAGACTGATACCCTCTCCCAAACCTCCAAATAATGGAAAGAAAATTCAGGCCAAGCAATCTATAACCACTAACATAGATTAAAAGGACCATGGGGAGGAAATTATCTTTTAAAACCAGTCATTTACTCTCATTTTAATTCAGGTTGCCTCCCTCTCATTGCCCTGTGGGTTCATATTTTAAATGTGCTTTGCATTAAATATGCACAAAGAAGGTGAGAATCTATGTTAGTTGTAGAAACTGCTGGCATTCTTCATTATTCTTCAGAAAGGATGCCGTAATGGTTCTGCCCAGCCAATATTATTACATTTTCCTCTAATGTAATATTGCAGGTGTCATTCTTTGATGCCAAAAAATGTATTTCAAAATGTGTCCCCCAGGTAGAGAAGTTCACTTAGGACCACAGTAAACCAAAGCTCAACACTGAATATATGGTAAGAAGGTTAGAAAAATGAAAACCAGGAAACCCAAACTTTATCACTAGTCTTGCCACTGGTCATTAATGGATGTCCCTAAATTCCATACACCTCTGGAGTCTCAGCTTCTTCATTCATAAAATGGGACGGCTGACTAGAGTTTCCTTCAAATGCAAATTTTTTATGCCTTTTCAGACTCCCTTTCTCCATCTTAACTCTTTCCCTATTCTCATTTTTTTTTCTTTCACCTTCCATAGGTGGCCTATATCTGCAAGGGTACGAAGTAAATGAACAGACCCTTAGCTTCAAGCAATCAGTTATTGAACTCAAACCTCCATCTGAAGAGTTCAAGACTTTCTATTTCTGTGCAGAAAATAATACAGAAAACCAACGGTAAGTAGAGATCTGCACATTTCTTTTTCTTTTTCAGTCTTGACGAGAACCTTAACAGCAAACCCTTATTCTTAGTTTCCACCTTCAATTCTGTATCTTCAATTAAATCACACCCTTTCTTTGCATAGTCTCCATAGTTAATATCACCCAGGATTCTTTTTCTTTCAATGCATAGAAGGTGATTCTTCTAAAAGTATTGTTTTCAAATGAGAAAGGAGTCTACATTTTTTCACAAGGCAGTAACTGACTCTGGCAACATAAAAAAATGTACTAATACCATAATTTGTGATGTTGTAATTTATTAACTCACAGAGTTTCTGTTTTACTTCCTTTCATGTAACCTTTATTGATATGTCCATCTGAACTGGTCAGTTTTTCGGTTTTTTCATAAGCCACTGAAAGATGTATGATTTTCCCACCTAATTTGATATGTTCAGCATCCAACTTGGCACATACACAAGGCCTCTGGTTCATAATGATTCTGGGGAAAAAGCAGGGAAGTCAACGAAGAGAAAGCCATGCAGTAGAGGTACCCTGGTCCCTGCAGCACCCTCCCCCGCAGCCCCCAAGTCTCCCTGCCCAACTCCAGCTCCCCAGATGGCCAGTGACCTGCAGCTGCTCTTACCTCACAGACACTTTCTCCCAACTAATAAAAGGTATCTAATAAAAAATTTGCAGTAATTTATTAAAACAGATGAAATGGTAAAATTTCCAGAGACATTAACAAGGGCTACATACACTGTTTTAACCTAAAGAAATAAAACTCTGGAGGTAGAATTTCAGGATCTCAACAAGTGACCATTTGAGGAAAGGAAAAAAGATTTCTCTAGCAGGGGCATCCAACCTGCAGCTCACAGGCTGGGTGCAGCCCAGGGTGGCTATGGATGTGGCCTAACACAAAATTGTGAATTTACTGAAAACTACAAGGTTTTTTTTGTGATTATGTGTCACAATGTATTTAATGTGTGACCCAAGGCAACTCTTCTTCCAGTGTGGCCAGAGACGCCGAAAGGTTGGACACCCCTGCTACACATGATGTCCCATTATGTCAATCTTGCCTGTTCCGCTCCTTCTTAAGGATAGGCTATAATGAGGGGGAAATGAATAAAGAATTGCTAGATATCTTCTTCCTTGGGTTCATGCTATACAATCTGGTTGGCAGATTAAGATGGTTCCCTTGAAGGTGAAGCACCAACCGGCATATATAGGAAAAGGATCAATGAAACAGAGTTAACTCCTATTTGATAAAATCCACTGGTTTGCCTAGTTGGATCTCACCACCAAATCCATGAGTGGATATTATCAATAGGAAACAAACTGTGGTTCATGAAACTCTGGTCTCACAGGATACTCCACTTGAAAAAAGTAAGTTTCGGAAATGATTCAAATCATACTGCCCTTTTAGATAATTACATAGCATGTGAACTTATTGATGTTGCTAAGACAGACTGATGGAAAGAATTCTGGTTAATTCTCCATAACTCCCATTACCTAAGCTTATCTGATCCAAATCATTAAAAAAATAACTCCTACCAAAGACCTTTAGAATAAAAGCTATATATGCTCGTTTTATAAAACATCATCCAAGAAAAATGAAAGTAAGGAAAAGGAGAAGACAGGAGAGTTTGCTGTGGTTTCCAGAATTTAACAATGAAATATTCGCCTTAATGGCAATATTTAATCACTATATGTTTGATTCACTGAACTTTAAATTTAAATAGAAACAGTAAGATTTTTTAAAGTTCTATGGCTTCATTATTCTCTATTTACAAACACTGTACCCTCCTCTGATTTTATTATTTATAACAATTTTACTTCATAGCTACAATTGCATTTTTCTCATTTGGTGTTTAATCTTTTTGTTCAACCCAAAACCTAAGGAGCATTATTTACCTTATTAATTTCAAGCTAAATGACCAAGAGAAACAATTAGAAAATAAATTAAATTGCATTGTAACATTTCACCTTGTTTAGAGTGCGATGATGTTTTGACGGCTTGTGGTACACTGTTCTCTCTGCAGCTGGATCACGGCTCTGCAAACGTCTATCAAAAAATGGCTTCCTTTGCATCAGGCTATTGAAGACTTCATCAGCGGGCCTCTAGAGGAGACCAGAATGTGAAAGAAAACCCAATCTTAAGAGAAAAGACCCACAAAATTATCACCAGCTAGTCATGGGAATAAACAAAAACTTTTATCATTATATAGCTTTTCAAATGAATGGTTCTCCAATATAGTAAAACTTTGTGATAAGGGTATAATTTTGCTTTTGAACTAAAGTACCAAAATCAAAAGTGACATTCAAATAACAAAACTTATATCGATATCATTCATAACCCCTCATGTTTTTCCTCGTTGCACTATACATGTTAGCATGAAAATATAGTATGTCCCATATCCCTGTCTTTTGAAAGCATAAATAAAATAAAAGTCTTTTTATTTTATTTTCTCTTTTTTATTCTCTTCTAAATGTTCTACTCTTTGCTTCAGCTATAGGCTTCTTAGAATGCCTATAGGCCGTGATGTGGGAAGCTGATATCTGGAAAAATTAAGATCATGGAAATGAAGTAGCTTAAATGATGAATAAATAATTCAGCTAAACAAGGTCTTCTCTGTTAGGTCATCTTACAGTCAAATGAGTCAAGTGACTCCCAGGACTTCCCAAATGAAAGAAAATAGTAATATTATTGTTATAAAACTAAAAGAAGGAAAGAATTAGACAAAATTTAGGGGAGAAAAACACAAAGGCCTCAATATGAGTATCTGAATATTTATCATACTCTAAGGGGAAAACCCAAATAAATCACATGTCCTTCTCTTAATACTTAACATAAAATTCAGGGAAATTAGAAAGTGAATTCTAATCATTGAATTAGATTAGATTAGTTCATTTCTCAGCAGCACAATCCCTATGTGTATCCGAGATGCTGTGATGCATTTGGAAGTCCCCCACCCTTACTAATGGAACATGGAACACAGATTTCAAAGAGTTCAACTATCAGATTCAAGTGCTCTGAAGCACCTCAAAATGGAAAAAAAAAATGAAATCTTGTCTGTCCATAAAACCATAGTACTTCAGAGCTCACAAGGACCTTACAACTCAACACCTTTTCTTCATGCTGAGGCGCAGGGAGGTAGTGGGTTGTTGAAGGTTGTATTGGTTGTTAATGGCAGAATTAAAACTGAACCCTGGTCTTCATCTCTCCATCCACTGTTATTTCCATCCTTCCTGTGGCTCCTCATTGTGGCCAGGAAGGTCATTTTCCCAGAGACAATGCAGCCTCCCACTCCCCCAAGTTACCAAAGACTTCTTATCTTCAGCTGAGAACTAAAACACAATTCCAGTAACGAGTCTTGTTTATATTTCCACAATGTCATGGAAGGTCTTCATGCTAATCCAAATTACATCCTTTTCCAGAGACTATTAAATGTGAAAAAGATGTCAAAATTCAAATTACTTTTCCTATACTCCTCACCTCTCCTTCCCCCTCCCAAACTCTCAAATAGATGGCTCTGGTTTGATGCTCTCGTTCAGCCCAGATAGAGGAGGCTTGTGAGTGAGCATGTGCTATGTAGTTCCCATATTAAGAGAGGCTCCCTAAATGAACTCGGGCCCAAACTGATGTGCCCTAATACTCCAGCCAAGTTTATACCATAATCGAAAACATCAAGTTAATGATAACAGATAGTCCTCTGTTCTGAGAATGGTTCCTTTGTTCTCCTGGTATTTACCATGATAATAAAGAGGTCTTTCAGCAGGGGCGTCATCAGTGACGTTCACATCAGAAACCCAGAGCTCACACATCCGCTCCCCAGTGGAGCACTCTGCAATGCAGCCCCATTCTGGAATGCAGACGCTGCCCAGCCAGCTGGTGACCACGGCCAATGGTGATGCTGGCTCGGAGCTGCCCCTCCCACCCCAAGGAGAAGAACAAAAGCAATTCCCTCAGTAAAAATGTGAATGCAATTTTATGCTAATTAACCACTCATATGACTCACTTGCAAATGAAAGGTATCAAGATTTCAAGTTCCAACTCCTTAAAAATTACTATTATTAGTCTTGGAAGATTCTAGAGATTTAAACCATCCTGGACGTTGGGGGGGGGGGTTTGTATACTTTTATATGGACAGGATTCTAAGTTTTTAATATGATTGTCACAGGATATGTGACCCAGAAAGAATTTTTTGGTTCTATGATTAAGAACGTTTCGCTGGATCCACAAGGTGGCTATCTCCAATAGATAAAATAAGGAGGGAGAAGCTCAGAGCCAGCCTTCTATATAAATGCTGACTGCATGTTTTATGGTTAGCCCACCTTTTGGCAAATCAAAAAGAGCTCCCCATGAGCCCAATGGTCAGTTAGTCAATAAATGTTCATTCAGCACCTAGTTTGGACCAAGCACTGGGTGCCACCCAGACCACCATCACTAAACAGAAGCAGAAAGAATTGTTCCAAGCATGCACTCTGCAGCCCAAGGGCCTGGGTGCAAATTCTAGCTTTATCGCTTCTGTCTGTGACCTTGACAGGTTACTTTAACTCCCCCTGCTTTAGTTTCCTCATCTATAAATGGATACTGTTATAGCATCTGTCACATGTGTTTATGAAAATTAAGTGAATGGTGCCTAAAAAGCACTGGAACACTGAGCAGCCCCAGTGAACTCTCAATATAATTATCAGTATCATTAGCAAGGAGTGTCAGCTGGTTATATACAGACCTCATATCTCTGTGGACACCTTCAGAAGGAATACATCTTGTATCCTTCACTTACTGCAGAAAGGAGGATGGAGGGTTCCATCAGGGTTTTCCTCTTAAAGGACTTAGGAGAAGACCAAATACAGCTTCAGGCTTTCTGACTCACATGCAGCAAATAGTGCCTCTTTAGAACCCCAACGACTGGCCTACAGTTGTCAAAACTCTGCTAGACCCACATCCTTGATAAACTTGGAAGATTTTCCGTCAATATTCCTAGAAGCCCTGATTGTTCTGGAAGGTCCCTGCAGGGCCTAAGTAGTGCTGGTTTCATTCCAGTTCTTGTTCTGCTCCATCTGCTGTCTTAAAGTGCACACAATAAGGAAAGCCCATGGACCGTACTGTACTTAGGAATTACATTTAGAGAAGATAAATTAATAAACATCAAAGACACAGTAATTTGTTCCCATAAAAGAGTAACACTAAAAGCAATCAGTCTGTTCCTTTATTTGACTCACCCACTCAGCTAAGAAAATGATCTCAGTGACCCCTTGCCCCCACATCACCTCTCAAGCTTCTTCCTGGGTTTGGAACAGTCTCCCCCACCCTCACCTGAGAACAAATGTGTTCTCTATAGAGGTTTGGCTAATGTAATAGAATTTTCTCTTCCATTCAAAACTCATTGCAAAGACATGTCCATAGCAGCATGTAAAAGCTAATAAAACAATAAACCATACATTTTAAAAAGTAACCAACCCTTTCTTACAACACCTTCTATTACACACACACACACACACACACAAAGTCTGTACAGAAAAAGTCCAGCCATTGTTAGTATAAGGAGAACGGTTTGCCCAACATCGATGCAACCTGGCAGCCAAGGAGAGTGGACTGTAATGATCATGTATGAACAGTGATGACTTGTTTGATGATTTCAGGGAGGTAGGAATATGTGTGTTTTACTTACTGTACTCCCAGAAACTACTTACACAATCACTAACATATCTAAAGCATTTGATATGCATATAGTAAAAGCATAAATAAATGAATTCCAGGTACTTATCTAATCACATATTAAAATTATTACTATTATTTTTATGTTGTTCAATACAATTGTCCCAATTTCCCCCCCATCATTCTCCCCTGCACTACCCACCTTCAACCTTCCACATTCAGTCCTCCTTCCCCCACACTGACTTTGTCCATGAGCCTTTTATACAAGTTCCTTGACTTGACATTTCCCCTTCTTTCCCTCATTATCTCTTCCCCTCTGGTCACTGTCAATTTGTTCTTTATTTCCATGTCTCTGTTTCTACTCTGCTCACTTATTTGTTGATTAGGTTCCACTTATAGGTGAGACCATATGGTATTTGTCTACCACTGCCTGGCCTATTTCACTTAGTGTAACACTCTCCATTTCCATCCAATCTGTCAAGAAGGGTAGGAATTCTTTCTTTCTGCTACATAGAATTCCATTGTGTAAATGTACCATGGCTTTTTGATCCACTCATTTACGGATGGGCACTTAGGCTGTTCCCAGCTCTTGACTATTGTAAATAACGCTGCTATGAACATTGGGGTTCATGGGCTCTTTTGAATTGGTATTTTAGGATTCTTAGGGTATAATCCCAGCAGTAGAATTGCCAGGTCGAAAGGCAGTTCCATGTTTAGTTTTCTGAGGAAGTTCCTTGCTGTTTCCCACAGTGTCTGCAGCAGTCTGCATTTTTACCAACAGTGCACTAGGGTTCCCTTTTCTCCACAACCTCACCAACACTTTTCGTTTCTTAATTGTTTATGATGGTCACTTCTATTGATGTGAAGTGGTAATCCATTGTGGTTCTAATTTGCATCTCTCTGTGATGGCTAGTGATATTGAGCAACCTTTCATATGTCTCTGGGCCTTCTGTATGTGCTTCTTGGAGAAGTCCTGTTCAGGTCCTTTGCACATTTTTAATTAGATTTTTTTGTCTTCCTGGTGTAGAGTCACGTGAGTTCTTTACATATTTTGGAAATCAAACCATTGTCTGAGGTATCATTGGAAAATATATGTTCCCATATGGTTTGTTCTCTTTTAATTTTGCTGGTGTTTTTATTTAGCCATGCAGAAGGTTTTTAATTTGATAGAGTCCCATTTGTTTATTTCTCCTTTCATATCCCTCGCTCTAGGGGACATATCTCATAGAGTGAAAATATTGCAGCATGGAACATCTAAAATTTTTCTGCCTATGTTTGCTCTAGGACTTTTATGGTGTTGTGAGTTATATTTAAGTCTTTTATCCATCTTGAGTTTATTTTTGTGTGTGGTGTAAGTTGGTGGTAGAGTTTTGTGGTTTTTTGCATGTAGCTGTCTAGATCTCACAAATCCATTTTGTTAAAGGGGCTATTTTTACTCCATTTTATTATTCTGCCACCTTTGTCAAATATTGATTGACCATAGAGACCTGGGTTTATTTCAGGGCTCTTTATTCTGCCTCATTGGTCTATGTGTCTGAACTTATGCCAGCACCAGACCATTTTGATGACAATGGACTTGTAGTGTAGTTTAATATCAGGTATTGTGATCCCTCTACTTTATTCTTCTTTCTCAAATTGCTGAGGCTATTTGGGGTTGTTTATTGTTGAATATAAATTTTTGAAATGTTTGTTCTGTATCTTAATCAAAAGTTAAAACTAAATCTGCTGATTTTACTTTTAGATTCTGAGTAGCACTAAGATT